ATCTCGTTAGGGAGCAGAAGGCATTAATGACCCACCAACGGCCGGGGCTAACGAAGCTGCTGGGACATTGCACACACCAGCGGTGAACAGGAAAATAATGTACTGTATCAGTGCAGTTTCTCACTGATTGCAGCTGTGTTCAATCGAACACCGAGTGTTTTGCTAGCCAGGTACATAGGCGAACGCATCAGCAGAGTCTTGCGTTCAGATGGAAATAGTGAGTTTGATCAAATCAGCAGAGCACTTGCTTAGTTGACTTCTATCAAAGGATGCTCTCCAAGGGTAAATCTAAAAGGGTTTCTCCTGCTCGTGGACATAAGCTGTGATCATTTAATAAAAGTATTGTTTAAATTATAAATTTTTTGTATAGGGAATGTATATTCATGAGTGCTGAGTGCCTGCTGGAACTACTCTGGTGTAGTTAACGTTGCAGAGCAGTGCTCATAAATCTGGGCTCAGTCTTATGTGACTGCTGCCGTTGATTGCTCTGGCTGAAACGAGGTGCACAGGGTGAGAAATGCTTCCAAGAATAGATCCTAGCAGGTATGTCAGGCCTTATGTTTCTTTTGAGGTGACATTTTCTGCCTTATCAGTAAAAGAAAACTTTCTATGCAAGATATGTGGTTGCTGAATAGAAAAAGGTTCTTGTACGTATTATGTAATTTACTGACACTAGTAAGTTTTGTGGAAATCTGTTGCAGTTACTGTAAATAAACCCCATTTGAAACTGTGCTGAGTCTGTTTGTCAAAATTCTGAGGAATTATATGTTTCTTTTTGGCGAAACTTTCTGAATTCACCGTGGTGCCCTTTCATAGCAGATATTGTCACTCCTGGTAATGCTAGCATCCCAGAGGTGATGCATCATTCCTGGCATACCAGAGAGACCTGAATGACACTAAATCACCCCAGCTTGTCCACAAGACCATTTTTATTGTGCATAATGTATAGCTCTGGTCTGTTTTCACCCCTTTTGGGCTCTTTTAGCCACCAGTGGCTGCACACACGTTGCTGGTACCCACTGGTTCTGCATGATCTAAATCCCTTTTCCACTGTGTTTTCCCACAAGGTGTTAATACACATATCGCTGCAGTATCTGACAATGGCGGAGGACTAATGTGTTAGTAAATGAACCAAGACCACCCAGATCATCTCTCCAAGCAGCCAGGAGGTGTTATATACACCTGGTGTCGGGGCCCAGGTAAACACTGCTTATTAGCACAAGCTGCTTGGAGAGCAGTTGGATGTTTATGTCCCTGGTAGCACTCTAGTCCTAATTTTTCAAGTGATAAAGTCTTACTGCATTCATTAGACATAAGGCTTGAGTAAGACTGGAGGGTAGTTCTATGACTTGGTGCATTTTGCTCTAGGGATCAACTCTGCTGAGCAAGGTGTACCAAAACTCCCGCTGGCTGTGGTGGCATGAGCACAACCAGGGCGCTGCATGCTCTCCCCTGGCTCTGAGCAGCTCTTATCACATTAGGGTTGAGTCATTCCTTCTAGGTCTGAATCCTTCAGGCTTGCACAAACCTCTTTCCCAGCACCTCTGTTCCCATGGGACAGTCCAACACTCTCCAGCTCTCCCTTTCCTGCCCACGGGCACGGGCAAGCTTCAGCAGCTGGGATGGATGGAGGGCTGGCTGTTCCCAGCTTGGGAAATTTCTAATGATGCTACAGAGGTGACACAGGGAAGGTTCTAGCTGCAGAAGAAGGTCTTTAACAGGATTTTGTCATTATGGAATAAAGTCCTCGTGTCCTCAAGGAGAACCTAGTTAATGCTTTGGTTTCATCCCCATCACAGGAGGACCCCAGTCAAGACCTCCGGCAGCACACCAGCATCGCTGGAGCCTTGCATCGGTCCGGTGCGCGCTGTGCCTTTCATCGGGCGCCAGCAGAATGAAGAGCTGCAGAGGAGGAGGAGACTCCTTGTCCCTTCCCAAAAAGGCCGGTTGGTGACCTGGCTGGGTGAGCTCACCAGCGTTTGCCTCTAGCGCACACGCACGTGCTTCACACTGAGCAGGATTTGGTGATTCACTTTTAAAGGAAAGATCTCCTTGATTTGCTCGCTATCCTGCCTCAAATATTTGCTTATGCCAAAGGAAAGCCTCTGGGGGCTTTGATTCTTTTAATTTGCTTTCTCATGGGTTTTTGCAGTGTGACTTTCATTTGTCCTGGTGCCAGGGCATGAACGGGTGAATACATCCCTCCACGCTCTGTCAGTGTTCACGAAAGCTGATCTTTCAACACCGTCACACTTGAAATCAACCATTTAAGAAATGACAGGTATCTTGCACGTACCATGACTTTCTGTTAAAGAAAAACCATTAGGAATGAAGTGGTGATGCAATGAGATACCGCAGCTCATCACTGACCGAAGGAAATCAGTCAGCACGTTTGGCAAACAGTCTGGTGAAGGAGATGGGGCTGGTCGGTGAGGTCCCTGTGGACCTTTCCATTGATTGTGGCGGGCTCTGAATCACAGCTTGAGTAAGAAGTGTGAGTTTTATTCCACATCCTCAGCTTACACTGTCACAATTATTACTATTTATCAGAGTTCATTTATTTTGTATCCTGTGCGGAGGGTTGCATGCCTCAATCCATGCATGTTTTATTGCTTTCATGTCAAACTAAGTTTAAACTTCCCCGTCCACTGCAAAGCACTGCAGCAGCCCAGGGACATGCCCCTTTGGAAATGGGGTGCAAGATGGAAGCATCAGCGGTGGGAAGGAGCAGGAGGCGCGGGCAGGCAGCTGCCGGGGCTGAGGGGTGCAGGCAGAGCCGGCTGGCAGGATGCTCAGCCCACCCATGTTTCTCGCCCTCTGCACCTCTCCCGGGAGTTTGGCTCATTCTCACTGCTCCCAGCGCGGTGCGGGAGGAGCGGAGCTGAGAAAAGGACGCCGGCGGGCAGGTTGAAGAGGAAGCGGATTTGCGAAGGGAGAGTGAAAGGGGTTTTCTCCTCTCAGAAATTTCCAAGCCTTAGCATTCTCCTGCAGCTTTATGACTGCTCACCCCTGGGGACACTTTCCAAGCGCACGCCTTTCCTATTGCACCAGAATAATTCATTCACTTCCAGCAACTCCAGACAGGCGCAGACCTGTCCTGGCCCCTCCTCACCTTTTCCGATATCCAAGCCCCTTCCCACCGTGCTGCTGAAGGGATGCAGCCCGGGAGATGAGGCAGATGAGCTATAACCTGACATTTGAGGTACTAGCCTTGATATCGGTAAGGTGATGACTCCTGCAAGGGGGATGTGAGAGCAGCCCTGAAAACACAAACGCTGGGCTGGGAGGGGAAACACAAATTCAAAAAAAAAAAAAGTGGAGCTGCTGCCCTCCTTCTCACAGTGAGCCAAGCTCTTCTCAGCGCTTATTGGGGGGAGGTCCATGGTTCAGGAATAATTTGGGTTTTATCCTTGATGAAAACTCTGTGTCTGTAGGCTAACGCAAACAGCCGTGGCCTGACACCTTGCTGAACTCCAATACTGTTTTCATTTTAAAGTGCAGCTAATGTTTTTCTGAAACAGAAATACACTTGTGCTGTTACCGTAAGACCATCAGCTCAGGCTCTAGCCGGGGTGATGCTCCTCATTCTTTATATTTTATGGCTTGCAATCAGAGCTGCACGTAACCAGCACGGGCTCAGGAATTTGAATTTATCTGTGCGGTTTCTGCCCCTTTTCTCCTGAACAGCTCTGGCCCCATCGGACACCTCCGCAGCCCCTCTCCTAGCCAGGCAGGCACCAGCCCATCCCATTCCTGGTCTTCAGGGAAAATTGCTTCTCTGCTTTGTCACAACTTCTTCATCATTGCTGCTTCCTACATTGTTTTCTCTGCAGGGAATTCAGCTTTCTGTACCTGCATCTAACTGACAGGCAGCAGTGTCGTGCTGCTGTTTGGAAATCCGTGCATCAAGAAATTACTTTTCTGTGTTTAGTCATCTGCTTTCAAAAATAAGACCAAGAGACAACATTTAATTACAGTTATTCTCGTTTCCACCTGGATAAACATGAAGTCAGCCAGGGAAAATATGTGAGTGATGTGTGGCTCAGGTTTATCAAGCAAAGGGTGGGTTTTCAAGGCCACCCTCAGTGGGGTGGCTGCGTGGCAGAGGAGCACGGATTGGGCTCAGTTGTTCCGACTCCAAGTCAGAAATGGGAGATTGTTGGTTCAGCTGCTCTGGGGAATTTGGTCTGTATTATGCAAATACAGTGCCAGTGAACACCGGTGCCTATTGCCTAATCAGCTATATAGGCTGCTGATAGGTTGTCATACTAATTAATGTCATTCTGTGATCAATTCCTGTTGTTGATGAAAATGCACATGAGATTACTCAAAGCATTTCCCGTTTATCTCCATTAATTGTGGGTTTCTCCTACCATCCTGTGCCATTTGCAACACCAGATGTGATGCCGTAATGCTGGAGTAAGAGGAGGAGAAAGCCCCCCCCCAAATGCACCCTTTCTGCGCCTCTTTGGGTGCGCTCTCCCCGCACCCTCCCACGCACTGCGAGTCCCCCTGGTCTGCTGAAAGCCAGTGGTATTCTTTATTGCTTGTGCATAAAAACACTTCAGACCATGTCTGGTCTGCAGGTGCTGCCCTGTGGATGAGAAAGCTTAAGGAATCAAAAGCACAGTTGTTCTGGAGGGTTTTCCAGCTCCCTTTAAACAAAAATGAGATTTTTTTTTAAATGCACCTTCTGGTCTTTGAGAGCCCACCGTGTTGGAAGGGCACCGGTGGGGCTGGGGCCGTCAGTGGGCTAAGATACTCGAGCTCCTGCTGTTTCCCAGTCCGACCTGCTTGCTCAGACCTGCACCTCCAGCCCAGCCACCCCGTTTGGCATCTCACGATTCCTCCTAAATCACCGCTCGAAGCTGAATTTAAGCAAAAAAAGGTCAAGCTATAGCAAATTGTGGTAGCAATAAACAGTGCTGCTTGCTGATGTCTTGCTCTGATCCTCAAGGTAGAGCCGGTCCCAGTTGCTGCTGCCTCTCGGTCCCTCCCCTTCAGATCTGGCCCTCCCAGTTCGGGGGGGACACGGCCGGGGCAGCGCTGTCCCCCCCGGCGCCGCCCTGTGCGATGCTGCCGGAGGTGAGGAGGAAGGTGGAGTAGGCGAGGTCAGCATCCTCCTTGGAGTTCTGGGGAAGGACAGGAGGACACTGTTAGGTGGCCGGGGACGGACAGCAGCACGTGGCAGGGGAAAGGACAGCATTAATGCGGGCAACACCGCAGGGCCATGAGCTCCTTGGGATGATACAGGCAGGCTGGAAAAGTGGGACAATCCGGCGGGTCACGCTGGTGCCGATGCGAGAGCATCACGCCTTTGCTCAGCCCTGGGAAGACCCCAAAGATTTGTAAGTTTGGGACTCCGCTGCATGCCTGTCCCTGCGCGTCAGCATCCAGCTCACCTGTCCTAAAGCTGCTGGGTTTTACTGGTTTCCTGATAGTTTATCACCTCGGTTCAGCTCCTGGCACTTTCAACACCTACATATCACCTTTGATTAGGGGCTTTTAAAAAGAAGGGCTTGCTTCTGGCACCTTTGGTTACTGCTGAGTGGTGCCGCTCGACCGTGACCTTACCCAAGGTGGGGGGAGGCAGGGGCTCGCCGGGGCCACAAGAGCAAGTCATAGCTCTTGGCAGAGACCATAGCTCTTGGCAGAGACCTCCCTGCCTACCTCTGCCCCCGAACCGCTGCCCGCGTGGGAGCACAGCCTTGCGGGAAGGCTGGGAGGTGGGATGCGCTCTGACCTCTGGACATCTGCTTATCCCAGTGTTTCGTATTTATGGTAACTACCCAACCCCAACCTTCCTGGGGCTGTATTATTGTCTCTGCTAAAACCTGGGGTCAGGAAAGGGTGAAGGTCCCCCCATGGGGGCTGATCTGCAGCAGGTGGCCGGATCCAGGTAGGATGGAGAGCACCTGGCTATAAATAAGGCCCCTGGGAGAGGGCAGCTCCTTCGGCAGAGGCTGGGGGGGCGGCTTCCCAGGTCAGTGGGCTCCCTCCTCTTACCCTTTTTGCCTTCTTGGTCTCAGCAGCACTTTCCGGGGTGGCCACGGTGGTGATGAACTCTGCAGGGAGAGAAAGAGAGGTGTTGGGGTGTGCGGGCCATCGGTGGGCAGGTATTTCTGCGGCTTTTGCAGGGTCTTTCTGCAACCCCCTCCCTGGGGCTGGGGAGCAAGCCCATCAGTCAGCAACCTACCGTCCCCTCCTAGCTGAGTCTCCTGGCTCTCTTTCACGCAGGCGTTATTGCTTGCGCTGTACTCCTTCACGCTTTCGAAGTCTGACATGCTGATGTTTGTCCTGTAGCTCCCGATGGACACCAGGTCTGTTAAGAGGGAGGAGATAAATACCCTGCACGCTTCCTCAGTCTGGGCAAGCACGTTGGCATCCGAACTGCCTCTGGGCAAGGAGACACGGCGCAATGCCGCGTGCAAAGCCCGCGGAGGGGTGGTCTCTGTCCCAGCCGGGCGCCCTGTGTGCTGGGTGTTGGAGCCGTATGGATGGGGTCAGTGGGAGAAGCAGGGTCCCTTGCCTGCCCATCGCGTGAGGGGGAACCGGGGGAGCAGCTCAGCCCGGCAGAGATGGCAGCGTGCACAGGGTATTACCTTCCTCTTAACACTGCTGCCATTTCTTGAGAGACTAGAGAAGGCAGGGACTCACCAGACCTCTTCAGCTGCCTGTATTTAAAAACGGCGAAAGCTGTCGCGCCGATCAGGAGCACGGCACCAACAGGGCCCAGGGCTAAAGCAAGTGTATTGGGGCCGTGGCTTTGATCAGAGCTGGAAAGGAGGGAAAGATATCACTAAGCTGTGAAATACTTTACTTTTTTTTTAATTATTCAAGACTGAATACTCTATATGAATTTCCAGCAGTCTAAAAATCTACCTAGGATGGTAAATCTGAGTCAGCATGATGCAATTCAGTTAATGAACTGAATCCCAGCACATCACAGGAGAACAAATAAAAATGTAGGCCAGAGGTTGTGCCAAACCAGCCACATCAGCAGCTTGGTTATAAATGTGTGAAGGAAAGCTCTCTAATCTTGACAGAAGTATTTTCAATTACTTTTTCTGTGCCTGGAATTGCTAATTGTTCCCTTCTGGGCCTGTATTTTCTTGAGCTAGACGTTAATTTCAAGACATCTTGCCTTTTGCTGTAACTTTTTCGCTTCTTGTCCTCTGAGGTTTCGAGCTAAGTGCTTTAGGGACAAGATTTTTTTTGGTGTTGCTATACCACGCAGGCAGCATGCAAACACAGAACCAACAATGGGTTAATGGGAACTTCACAAAAACGATAAATGACAGAGGCTTGGAGAGAACGAACCTTTCTGAAGCACCTGCGCTTCCCACCCCAGCGTCGCTGTAGGCTCTTTCTTGGGCAATAAAGCCACCCTCGGCGTCCAGGAGGTCTGGGCTGCGGCCGGCACTGCTCCCTGCGCTCCCCAGGGAAGAAGGCGGTTAGTCGCATGAGCAGCTGCACGGACACAAAAACTAGTTGGGCGTATTTGGTGCCCGTGGAACTGCAGTGGGATTTGGCTGTACGTGGAGGCTCTTTAAAATGGGGTTTGGAGATGAGATCTGAAATAATCTCATTAAAATGGGGTTTGGAGATCTGAAATAATCTCATTCCAAATAATTTATTGCAAAAATCTCCAGTAGGCGCGCTCTGCCTATGTGCTTTTGAGAGGTCTTGCATTTCTAAGTTCTGCCTCTAGTATTTCCTGAACAAATTTTGAATACTTGGCTTGCTTTTATTTCTAGCTCTTTGCCTGCCAAAGGCAGCGAGATAAGGCTGTTTCCCTCTGTTTTCACTTTGACCATCATCCACTTAGGGTGGTTGCGTGTGGGATATCTAGTGCTATACTTTGTCTCTGCTCTGCTTCTAACAATTTTCCTTCCCAAGAAAAATAAGATACTGCACCAAAGCTATGACTAAGCCCCTTGCTGTCCAAGGGTGATAGCCCTTCCTTTCCTGCTCCCTACCGTTTTCCTGTTTATTGAGATAATAAGCTCCCTGAAGCAAGATGTGTCTCTGAACTACATGCAGTCCTTCACCTGACAGGTGTCAGACGTTGCTTAAACTATATGACGCTACAAATTGTAATAGCAATAATTAGTAAGGACAGGGTTAAAAAGTAAAAATGGTGTAGAAGGAAGTGATTTTTAGACTGGTGAGATTTTTTTATGACAGGGAAGCAAAAACCAGTGAGTGAATGAAAACATCTATGACAGGTTGCACAAAATCAGGGTGATCTTGGCACCTAGTCTGGAGGCTGCCTGGGTGACAGCACTTCTGTTTTGAGGTGCTGCAACCTAGTGGATATGGAAAGGACTTTTCTCTCGGCAAAAGGCAGCACGATTCACAGCCCTGAGGAGCAGGACAGCCCCTGCCTGCCTTTGCCTTGGAGCTCACCTTCAGTCACCCGCAGGTAGACTGCCATGGTTTCCCCGAAGAGGCCATCGCGCTTCACTCCACACCAGTACCACCCCTGGTCTGTCTTTGCGACCGAGTCGAAGCTGAGGATAACCGTCTTGTTGTCAGTGTCACAGGTAACGTCTGGCCCCGGCTGACTTTGGTCAGAAGAAGGCATGGGGGTGCAGGTGGGGCCGTTCCACTTGCACCAGTACTTCTGGTAGGAGTAGTACTTGCATGGATAAGAGCAAGTTAAATCGACCCGTGAACCCACTTGCGCCTCCACTTCCTTCTTTCCCTTCAGTCCAGGTTCTCCTGCAAGGGCAAACAGAAGATCAAGGCTGATATTAGTGGTTTCAGTGGTGGGAATGGTAGTCAACAGGGAGCGGTGCTGCTAGAGATGGTGAACCAGGAGATGTATCTTTGAGGGAAAGTGCTCCTTACATTGCTAAATCAATGTTAAAGATGCCGTATATGCATCTCTGGGTGAAAGCTGGGGGTTTTTTTGCAAGGCTTAAGAAATACTTGCATGAGAAACTTTTGTGAACACTTTCCCATAAAACTGAGACCTTGTGTTTCCTTTTTAAAGCTGCTGGGGTGTGAGGGGATTGGCACAATGTTTTGCGTTATGAGATAAAAGTTCAGAGCTGGACCTCACGTATCTTCCCAAAAAGTGAGACCTGCTCCTTTGTGGTGCTTAGGAGGTTGTTTCGTACCTACCGAGCGGGCAGAGAACTGCCAACGCGCAAGCTCGTACCGTCTATGATCTTCAGCTCAGCTGACGATTGCTGCTCCCTCTCCTCATTTGTCATGCACCAGTAATAGCCGTTGTCGCTGTCCTTCAGCTGGTTCAGGATGATGGTGATCGTCCTGTTATTTGGGCTGTCGTACATGGCCACTCTTCCTTCATAAGGGTCTGCCACATACCCGGAGTTTTCTATGATCTTAGCACACCCGTTCTGTCTCCACTTGCACCAGTACCTCACTGAGGACTTTTTTAGAGGCTCATAGCGGCATTCAAAAGTTGCTGAACTTCCTTTTACTCCAATTATTGTGGGCTTTCCTTGAGGAACGCTTGTCTCTGGAGATAAAAATGAAATGAGCACTATACATGTCTAACTTTTGCCCATGTGGCACTCTCCCAAGAGAATAAATATTATCAGATCAAACAAAGCTGTTTTGGCTAAAGCAAGGCTAGCGAAGCTCAGGGCTGCAGACGGTAGGAGACGGTCCTGGCACTGCTAGGAGCTGACCCTAAAGGGTCTGTCAGGCCTTTCTTTTTCCCAAATTCACTGGGTGGTTGTTGTCTTTGTGTACTGATATTTCAAAGTTTTGCTCCTTTTGCCATGGGAAGGGCAGGTCTTCTCCTTTCTACATCTGTCATTTTGAGATTTAAGGAATTAAGACTTGAAGAGACAGTTTGCATGTCTCAAACTACTAGGCAGAATTTGCCTTCTGCATCTTTGGGCTAGCCAGACCGGGGAAGATAGCTAGCCACTGCTGGGGAAGTTAAGTCTTGATGCAAGCTTTATTAGTGATGGTTTAGTACATTACAGATAATTAAATGAATAGAAAGAAGTATCTAGATGAGAGGATAGGATAATAGCGCTCTGCAAAAGGAAATTAAAGTTCTTGTTAAGTAAAGTGAGACTGCTAGTGACGCTTCTAAAGAGAAGCAGAGATGAAGAGAAAATATAACTTACCCTCATAGACATGCACGTCCAGTTCCTTCGTTTCTCCGTCCTCCCCATAGGACCCGACCCCGCACAGGTACAAGCCAGAGTCTTCCCAGCCCATCTGAGTTATCATGATGCTGAATGAGCCTGGAGGCTCCACATTGCTCAGCAGAACTCGCCCTGTGTAATCCTCATCAATATTCCTATAACTATCGACGATGTTACGGCAGGCAGAATTTCCTCTTGCTCTCATTCTCCTTCCCAAAGCTGCAGGACATGGTCAAAGTGCTGTGCAGCTTCACGTAGAAGAGCTCAGCTCCCTCGGGTACATGTGGACCTGTGCATACAGAGACACCAGTCAGTGTCTACTGCCTGCTCTGTTGGTAACTGGGCAACTCCCCTATGCCTCTGGAGGCTTTTTTTTTAGCATAGGGTTTCTCTCTACTTTGCTATATTATATGATCATGTGCCACCCAGCTGTGTCCCAAGCCTGACACAGGACTGAGGTCTCTGTGCTGGATCACTGCCCGCTCTATAGCGGAGTTTCTCCCAGAGCCTTCTTGCCAGGGGCTGTGCCACGAGTTTGCACCGTGCTCAGCACCAGGGGCCTTGCCCAGCAGCGCGGTGCCGTCCTGCACACCGTGCTCTCGTGGACTTGTGCACAGGCTTGGCTCCCACCGCCTCAGCCATGGGTCGGAGGGTACGTGGGAGTGACGGGCAGTTCTGCCCTCTGACTGTATCTCCCTAAATTTTAGGAGATGAGAGAGGTCAGCAGTTTCTAAACAATGTTTGTGACCTTAAGATGAGGTTCGTTTAATCTGATTTTTATGCCACACTCTTGGTCAAAAAATTCATTCTGTAAGATCACAGGGGAAAATGAAAACTGCTGTTTCCCAAAAGCATGGAGCATCTTGAGCTCTTAGACACTGGACAGACAATCTGTGGAGCCTTATTAAAGAGGAGAGGGGAAAGTAGAAGAAAATAATACTTTAAGGAGCCCCAAGACTGTAATTACCTTCAGAAACATCCAGACTGACTTTGTGGGAGAGCCCTCTGCCATTGATACCAACACCGCACTGGTAGGTGCCTGCGTCTGCCATCGTCAGCTCGGAGAGGTTAATCTGGAAGCTTTCTGCCTCTGGGTAGTCAGTGATGGAGGCTCTGCCTTTGTAGCCTGGACTAATGTAGCCGTTGGTGGAGACAACGGTCATGCAGCCTGTGGCCGATTCCTTGCACCAATACTTTCTGTCATGTCTGTTCACACGGGTGGGAGGGTAGAAGCATTTCACGGTGACTGACCCGTTGAGCAGACCATATACCTGCCGTGGTCCGAACACAGGGCTTGAGACTGCAAGAGGAAAACACGTTGGCTGTACATGTCAGCTGTGCCACACAACCCGATGGGACTGCAGAGCAGGTCGGGTGTACCGGGGCAAGCTGTGAGGTCTGAAAGGTCCCATGGCAGTGATGGGGTAGAGACACTCCCTGAACCCTGCTCCCCAGTAATGCCACCTCTGGTCTTAGGCCACCCACAAGACCTGTGCCCCAGACAGGTTACACTTACTTGCTGCCTTGGGGGGGTATCTGCCGCTTGCAGATTCTGTTGGGAGGAAGGCGAGTAGGAAGATGACCGCTAGTAAAGTCATTTTTCTTGCATTCCCTGGAAAAGGCACAGAAGTTGGTGAATAATCACATTTGCAAAATGATTAAGTTAACTGATCAAGTCATCTAATAACTTTCATGCCTGGAGGATACAAGGGTTGTGGGTACTTGAGCTAGAGAGAAATATAGCATTTAATTGCTTCTGTCAAGCAATTGAATGGGAAAGGGGGACCTGAACTCTGTTCTTGCCTGTGTGGCTGCATGGCATGATGACTGCCCATGGCTCTCATCCCAACACCCCAGTCTTCCCTTCTGTAAAATGAGGGGAGTTGTTCTTACAACAAACTCTGTTAATGCAATGCTTGCAAGCCACCAATGTGTCCGTCAGAGAGGAGTGCCCCAGGGACAGTGTCCCAGACAGGCAACAGCAGCAGTGTGCACAACATAAGGAGCGATTTTGGCCAAACCAGAAGAAACTTGATTCAAAATCAGAAATGGTATCTGGTTTTACACTTGTAAATCAGAACAGCCCATCACAAGGCTGAAGTCCAAAAATGGTCCAAAAGCTGCCGAGCCCTGGCAGGCATGAGAGTCAGGTGGCAACCCGGAGCTCAACTGCTCACTTGACCCTTGTCAGGAGATAATGCTGCTTCTAATAGTTTAATAGCTGGAATCATATTTAACTTCCAATGTTGTTCATGCAGTGAAAGGAAGGCTTGTTCACTTGTGAGCCAGAGTGCCAAAACCACTCCTTAGGAAAACCTGCTCTCACAGAATCACAGAATGGTTTGGTTTGGGAAGGACCTTTGAAGACCATCTAGTCCAACCCCCCTGCCATGAGCAGGAACGTCTTTCACTAGGTATGGTGCTTAAAGCCCCATCCAACCTGACCTTGAACACTTCCACTGATGGGGCATCTACAACTTCTCAGGGCAGCCTGTGCCAGTGTCTTACCACCCTCATTGTAAAAATTTCTTCCCTATGTCCAAATTTCTTCCTTATGTCATAGAGCAGGGTTCTCATCTGAAGCCTGTATTTAATTACTGCTCTTTGATTCCCTGATCTCTTCAAGGACACACAAAAGAGAAAAAGGGTAATATTTTCTCCTCTACTTTTCTTTCCTCAGCTGCTGCTAAAGTTAGTGAGATGCAGGGATTTACCCCTCACCCCCCACTCCTCCAAGAATCAGACTTAAACCAATAAAGCACTGTCCCACCTGTATATCCAACAAACCTACTGCACTAAAATTAACCCTTGGCCAGGACTCAAAGTTATGGCCCTTGGAGAATGTCAAACCAAACTGCGTGTCTCTTAATGTGTCCAGAGTCTTCAGGATTAATATTTCTGATCTTCCCCTTGTTTTGGACCAAGTGATGGCTCAGAGGAAGCCAAGGCTCTTAATTCACTAAACTATTTTCTTTGGCCTGAACTGAGTGTGCTGTTGGACGCTGCATGGTGCAGTGGTGAGAATGTGCATTTCCTGGGCATGGCTGTTGTTCTACCTGTGTAGAGATGATGATAAGTGCCAAGGAAAGTCTTTATAAACATTCAGAGGAATTTGATTTCAGGCGTCAAGTGACACAATTTTATTAAGGGTAATTCCCGGTAGAAGAAAAAGGCTTTTATTTCCGTGTTAAGATGAAAGGTGTTCTGTTGTGCTTTCTTCCTTGTATTGTGATTTCTAATTGCTCAGTGGCCACTTGTCCATGGCTAATAATTAACTCACCGAGCATGAAAAATGCTCTTTCATACATATCCCAGAAGTAGCCAGTAAGACAAACACAACATTCTGCAAACAATATGCCACAAAAAGGGCCTTGATATTTGTCCCTTGCTAACAGCAGTTCCCCTGGCTGATGGTCACCTCGCTGCCCTCCACCCCTCGCTCTGCAGGGCAAGCAGGATCCCAGTTCAGCTTTCCCCTTCTTGGCAAAATTTGAATAATCTGTTAGCCTGATTCCCTTCCAAACCAACTGGCTACCTCAGGGTTACCGACATTGTTTTGTCGGGTGGGGAAGGATTACCAAGACCTCTTTTTTGAAACAAAGATATAGCTGGGTCCAGAAAGATGTGTGCAAGAGTGGTGGCATCAGGGTCTTCATATGCATGTTAGAGCAGGAAAGAATTTTTGCATCTCTGTCTCTGAGGACACACGTGTGCACTTGTGCCTACACAAGAACAACGGCTCCTGTGTGTTTGCACGACCAACTGCAGCTCTGAGGTGCCTCTAGTCCTATTTTCTCAGATGCTGTTAAAACCTTCCCCCAATCACTGAGTGAATGGAGAAAACTCCCATGTATAGCAAGTCCGAGCAAGCACAGCCACTGTTTACGTAAAAATCTGTGATGTACTTCCATGCTAATCCACTGAGCTGGATGGCTGGAAACCCCCTCTCTGCTGCCGGCGCCGTGTTGCGCTCCGAGAGTGACACTTCCAGAGAAATGGTGCAAACGAGCTTTGCCGGTCACTCTGCAACGAGCAAGCGCTGTTTGAGATGCTGGATGAGAATTTCATCAAGCTGTTGCTAAAAGAGCTCTAGTTCCTTCTTGCTTTCAAAGAACATTTGCTGCTGGATCTGCTGTCTCTGGAGCACAAGGTTTAAACCTCAGAGCTCCAGGGAAGAGAAAAAGCTGCTGAACTCATATGAAAGGGAGTGCAAGTAAGTGGCTGTGCAAGCGATTTGTATTAATGCTTCTGCAGGTGGAGGGGGAGTTGAAAGGAGAGAGGAGATGGGACAGCAAAGGTTTGCAGGGAGTTATAGAAGAGCCAAGAGGCTTGAAACCAGAGGGAAATGCCATGTATGCTGACTCCAGAGCAGGTGGGAAGCAAGCTTGTGACAAGTGCGCTGGTAGATCTGCAGTGCTCTTATCCTGCTGCGTGCCCAGGGACGGTGCCTGCTGAAGCCCCAGTGCTGGAAAGGGTGAAGTGCCTGTGCCCAGCCTGTACTCCTCCTGCCACTCAGCTGCAGCTTCTCACCAGTCTATCCTAACTCTTCAGGAGTAGAGAAAGGGGGAAAACAGTGCTCCTTTGTTATGTATTGGTGGAATCTTTCCTGGAGCTGGCAGTGGAGGCAAGGCTTCGTTCTGGACTTCATACACAGATGCACAACCCTATCGGTGCTCTCTGTGTCTGGCAGCACCAGCTGCTTCAGAGAAAGGTGCAAAAATCTGCCCTAGGCAGTGATGCCATGACTGAGGGGTCCTGAGGGCTTTCCCTAAGTCCTGTTGGGGGTCTGGTGGTTGGCATGAAGCATGAGGCTTGTGCAGTGCTCCCAAAACCTTCCAGCAGAAGCTGAATTTGGTCACCCCGTACAAGAACAGTTGCACTGACTTTGCAGAGGACTGATGATCCTCCACCGGTTTTGCCTGGGGGCTGCGTGACGTGGATGCAGTCGCCACGTTGGGTTCCCCTCCACTTGTGTCCACATCTCCTGCTTCCTCCTCTTGCACGTTGACCTGCGTGTCCAGGTGCCTGCAATGGATTTCTGATCGCTCTCGGAGCGGGAAGGACTGAGTCCGTGTCCCCACGGATTGATGGACACTGGAAACCTCCCCCGCAGGGAAAACCTGGTCCTACCACACCGCAGCAGGATGGGTCGCCAGGACCCTGTTCGGTGGCCGATGTGCATGGCACTGTGCAGGTTGGTGCCGGCAGCCCACTTTTGCGTGATACTGCCTGTACCGGAGCTGTCGGGCAGGAGGGATCGCGGAGGCTGACAGGCTGAGAGAAACCTGGACACACGGTTTGTGCCGCATATGTCCATGCAGGCAAAGAAGCTGCTGTCTTAAACCTCATGCATTAAAAACCTAGTGAGAAGCTGTCTGCAAGGCAGTGCAATGGACTGGTCAGGAGGGAAAGCAGGGAGGAAACCCAGTTATTCCCACTAGGAAAGTGTCTCTGAGAAGCTGCTCTGCCGCGTGGGGCAAAGAAGCCGTGGGTGGGAAGTGCCGGGCTGGCAGCGCCCTGGGGCAGCCGCCTCCCTCGGCATTTTGGGCTTCAGCTCCCCTGCACTGTTGGGCCAGTCTCCATAGACTGCCAGGCTGTCTGTGGCTAGTTTAAAACATTTTGATAGGTCAAAGGGCGGAGGGGGGAATCAAAAGCTTGTACTAGTTCTCCCCCACTCCCCTTGTGGCACAGGACTAGCAGAGAAGCCACCATGGGGAAAGCTTTCAGCTGCATGAATGTGCATGGCTGGTGTTTGCAAAGTCCCTCCTCCAGCCAAAGGGCCATATCCCCTCCTGGCATAAATCCCTAATTCCCTGTTGCAACAGTGGTCCTCTCTGGATTATTACCAGCTGTGCACTGGAGCTGTACTCCTTTTTCTTTGGGGTTTTTTTTTTAGATACAATGCAAATCTTTGTTTTGTGAATTTACTTTCATTTTGCATCGTCAAAACTGCCGGCTTCCTTCGCTTCCCTGTCCCAACGTAACAGGTTTTGAAGGTTTAGAGCACAAAACCAGTATTACAGCTGAACTCAGCAGATGGGAGTTTGAACGTTGGTGCAAGATTTCTACTCTTAACCCAGGCCTCTGGACACCAACGTCACCAAGATCAGGGTGATGGCGTTGTCTTGTCGGGGACACTCTGCCAGGCGGGGGTGGCTCCACGCTCTCCAGCTGTTTGCAGTGTTTGTGTGTATAATGCAACAGGGATTTCAAAGAATTGTATCGTACAAAACCAGAACAGGATAGGCTAATCATTAGCAAGATTAATGCTAAAATCAAAACATTTAGTGGTAATATGCTTTAAAGCAGAAGCTATAGCCATTACCAGGCAAATGGCATTAATGTTCTCCTAGCCACTCATTTCCATGCTCGGCTTGAGTTTGTGACCATGAGCTTGGCAAGGGCTGCTGAAACCCCCACCAAGGGCAACTGTGCAGGTGTGTGAGTGCATGAGAAACATGCGTGTGTTCGAGCATTAATAAAACCCAACTATATACCTGTACCATAATGACAGGTAAAAACTCATTACGCCTTGTAACATGTTTCCATAATTTGGATTTTGTTGTGTTTCTTCCTGCCACCTAAGTGCCTTAGAGCT